GAAATGCCCACCTGCGCCACAATGACACATCCTTTACCAAGGTGAACATTGTGCCCTAACTGAACAAGGTTATCGATTCGAGATCCCTCACCAATAACGGTATCAGAAGAGGTTCCACGATCAATCGTCGTATTTGCCCCAATTTCAACATAGTCTTTAATAATGACGCGCCCCAACTGTGGAACATTCACATGGGCAGACTCATCCATGTAAAAACCAAACCCCGGCTGTCCAACTTTAATACCCGGAGCCATCGTAACATGTGATCCAATCAAGGCATGAGATAGAACACAATTTTCCCCAATATCACAATGAGAACCGATCTGTACACCACGCCCGATGACACTTCCGACACGAACGATGGTCTGCTCCCCTAAGGTCACACCCTCTTGAATAACAACACCGGCTTCAAGAGTCACATTTTCACCAATCACAGCGGATGGATGCACATACGCTGATTCGTGAATACTAGGCTCTACATTCTTCTGATTGGGATAAAAAGCTTGAGCTACAGCGGCATATGCGCGATAAGGCTTCTTCGTTAAAATAAGCGCCATTGTGCTAGGAGCACGCCCTTTATGCTCTGCATCCAAAATGCATACACCTGCCTTTGAATCTTTAAGGTGAGAAGCATACTTTGAATTATGCATCACAGAGATATGGTGTTTTTGGGCCTCTCCCAAAGGAGCCACATCCTCAATAGTGGTTTCTAACGTGATCCCTGTGGGTAAAGGCTGTGCAAGCTCTCCCCCAGAAATTACAACGATTTCTTTAAGCGTTAAAGGAGCAACTCTTTCAAAGAAGCGTGGATCAGCCATGAAGTTTATCTCTTACTTTTTCTCCTGCCATGCGTAATGCTGTGATGGAAGGTTCGGGTGCTTTCTTTCCTGGTACGGTTACAGAAGAAGACCCTGCAGGTAAGTTTGTTACTTTAATTTGCAGATCTTCGAACGAAGGCAAGGTCTCATCTAAAGCGTTAATAACATCTAACGTCAAATCCAGATTATCCTCGCGAAACACAGCCCCTGATCGAGGCAGAACAAGGGAAATCCCTCGGGATTCGGAAATCCGAGCAATCACTTTCCCCAAAGCCTCTTGAATCGGTGCCATATATGTTGCGTGAAAAGCTTCCAACTCCTTACGGCGTTCTGCAACCTTGCGATGCACGCCTGCAACGCGTTCTTCAAAAGCACGACGTT